TACCATATTGGTTCGTATGCTAGCTTATTTGCGTAGGAGAACAGCTGCCACCAAATTCATTTGCGGCTCGTGAAGCAATTTCACTCATCCGCAAACATGTAGAGTAAGTTTGAGATAGCCAACCAAATAATGAGATGCCTTATTAAGATAGCAAGGTTAATTGTATAAAACAATAACTAAGGTTGTAGCCGGTCACCTTTTATCTTGACTAGTATATCTTTGTTCTATAAGATGTATTTACCTTATTTTGTCTTAGGTGATAAAGGATTGGTAGTAGAATTTCTCTTCAATTATATGGGTAGAGCGGATGTTTCCATTGAATTTTACATGGTCTTGCTTTCCCAAAAGTTGTTCTCATCCAGAGTAGGCTGCATAGGCCTTATAAACACCCAAACAGGAGTCGAACCGTGACAGTGCAGCATGCAAGCTTGACACGTTAGCCACTCGGCCACTTTGCCACCAGTGTCCTTGGATCACAGGGCAGATTTCAATTTCAAGGAAGGCCAGGCCTTTTTCCATTTCACGTTCTTCGGTGGAATTGTCGATGAAGCTAAAGATTTTTTGCTATAATAATCGAATACATTACTTACTTTTTGCATGTTTCATTTTTCGTGACTACCAGTAAATCAGTAATATGAGAGATTTACTGACAGTCTTGAAACTCTATTTACATACGAAAAATTTTTGCTATATTTTGCAAAGTTTGATTTCTTGTCTTAATGATGCTTGTCGCAATAATGCTGAAAGCTTAGCAAAGGTTTATCGGGGTCGCATAATCACTTACCTAGGATTTCTCCTCGCAATTCACTTCGCGGCAATCTTGCTTCGGTTTCCGATGAGAACATTTCATTAATTCCTTCCAACCAACTTTTTATTCGAAATGGAAATGTATATCACTAAAGGATTCTTCGAGACCCAGCTATTCCTACTATGCCAACTATGACAACTAGTTGTTTTCTCATTCGGACAACTCATACTTTTTGCTGGTTTGGGCTTTCGCTCCTACATTCTTGACAGGCTTACTAAAGTGCGAATAGTAGTTTTTTTGGCTTATTTTTATTTTCTCCTAGACTTTGCATGTTTCCCCGTGGCATAATATCCCTCCACTATATCCATGAACAACCTTGTTAAATTATAATATATTTTTGTTTTTTTAGAACGTCTTCTATCCTCTTTTAGCGTGTCCTACAAATCCTATAATGGTTCGTGGAAATAAAATATGTTAGTAACACTAGTAATACTTATTGGAGTCAGCTCTGGCCGTGCTTCACCTATTCCATGCCTCCTCTAAACAACTACTATTTCCTAAGATCATTTCCTTGTCATTTTCCTAATGGAAAACTAATCTTATTTTAATGTGATTCATCCTTTAAAATGGAATATCGTTAATACATCTTAACGCTCAGAAATACTATCTTACGTTCCGTAGTTTCCCTGACTATGATTAAATTGATTTTTGCTCTGTTATGTCTTGTTATACCTTAAGTTTCTTCAGATTTCATCCTAAAGCGGAGCTTACAAGTTGAGAAAATATGACAAATATTCACAATTGAGCTATTTTGCTATCGCCTTAAGAAATTTATCATATATGAAACATTTTTATTATTTTGTCGTTTATAAACTTAAACAAATTTTGAGAGTATGAAGATCAAGATGGTGTGGTCTTTTTTGTGGTCGCAGTATCATTCCGTTGTATAGAAGTTGTTTGACCTTGTTTTCGCAACTTGGTAGGATGACTTATAGGAACGCACCTTGTCCTGAGTCCATTTTATGCATAATTATTTCCAAAGTCGAACCGTGGACGCGGTACATTCCCAAATGTTTCACCGGCATCGTAGTCGGCATCGTCAATTAGTCTCGCCATTCGTAGCACCATATTAGAACTCGTCAAATGGACAAGTGAAGCCCATCCTTTGACCAAACGTCTGCTAAACAGTTATGGTATCTAATCTTCTCCCCTGGCCTATTCACATTTCCTATATCCTACTATCAAATAAAATTGCATCGTGGCCTTTCATTATCTTCCCTCTTAACCTTTATTCTCTTACGATTTCCCTATCGCTTCACTCTTCACACTTTCAAACATTCATCAACCTGTATATAAGATATATTGGTGGTCTCGAAAGCCTACTTATAAACGAAAAATGCATTAACCTTTTTACTTAATTAATTATTTCGGCCTATTTGATTGTATATTCACTCGTCTACTTTATATACATACTATTTAAATGTATTCTATGTTTATACGATGCTTTCGATCGACATCTGCTATTTCTACCGCTACTTAGCCGTCTTTTCTTCTTATAATCACATTTTTTATACTATACCCTACATACATTTCACCTTTCCTTGCAATTTCAGGGAGTCCGCGATCTTCTTAATCGAGTTTCCGCGAGTGCTCGGGCCAATGCTTCAGTTATAAGTTCTGCTAACTGTCCTGTCAATAGTGGGGCTGCGAAGAGCGGTGTTGTCCCTGTTGCGTCCAGTGGAATAAGCCTGGCGGAATATATCAATGAGAAATCTGCGGATAGTGGCGCCACTCCCTTAATTGAAGCGGCAAAGACTGGTTCCAACGATATTGTTCTAGTGAGTATTCAATCTTGTTTCTCCTGTATCCTTGCATCCTAGAGATCTTCAATGGTCTTTTTTTTTTCAAATATTATACTAACTATTGTGCTAAAATAAAGAAATTTTTTAGCTAATCTAAAGCAAGTAACGAATATATATATAGTCGCGCTTTTATTAACTTACTTTTACTATGCACCTCAGTAATATGTGATCAGCAAAAACTGGTTCTTATGTGTCGGGAACCTTTTTGGTTTTTATTATACTATCTAGCTACATACTTTTTAAAATTTATCTGTGCCTAGATTAAAAATTATCTGACCTTCAAGAGTTTCTTTAAATATTTTCATAGAGCCAACTACATTTTACCCATTTGCAATTTTTATTCTCCAAAAAATACCTTAAGAGAAAATATTTAGCCTTTC